CCCCCCCCCCCCCCCCCCCCCCAGGCCCCCCCCCCCCCCGCCCCCTTCCCCCCCCCCCCCCCCCCAAAAAAAAATGCCCAGCTTCTGCAAAACTGAACTCTTCCACACCGCTGGCCCTTCACCCACAAAAGACCCACCTCCCAGAGGCAGATCCTCCCCCACCCCCTGCCCAAATTTTCCAGGACCTAACTCCCCGAAGCTCCAATCGCCAAGTGTGCGCGTGTGTGCATGTGTGTGTATGTGTGTGCATGTGTGTGTATGTGTGTGTATGTGTGTGTATGTGTGTGTATGTGTGTGTGTATGTGTGTGTGTGTGTGTGTATGTTTGTGTATGTGTGTACATGTGTGTGCATGTGTGTGCATGTGTGTGCATGTGTGTGTATGTGTGTATATGTGTGTGTGTGTTTGTGTGTATTTGTGTGTATGTGTGTGTCTGTGTGTGTGTTTTCGTGCGTGCGCGCGTGTGTGTACGACACGAATGCTAGCATCAAAAAAATTTAAAAGAGACAACTTAGTCCGTAACAAGAATCTTTTATTCGAACAGTGTCGAGACAGTCACAGAGCATGGAATCAGGGACACTTATTGAATAATTTATGAACACAGAGAGAGAGAGAGTTTCTAAAGGGTTAATAGAAGCTCGATACACACACACACACACATATACACACACACACACACACACAGACACACACACGCGCGCGCGCGCGCACTTAGCTTACTTATCTAATCATGGAAATTTCAAGAACAAATGCTTTCACAGCGATCGTCTACTATGTCCTTATCACATTTAAAATGATTCCTTTCACTTAAAGCCCAGTACATCATCTAGTGCAATCAATAAATAGAAACCTATACAGTCCGTGTAGCAACTGACGAACAATAACATGCTTACATTTTATGTTCTAATAGAGTATCTACTGACATTGTACAGGTATACAACACATACTTTAGTTTTTAATTTTTTTTTTTAAAAAGTCAAATGCAAAAACAATTGCTGGGTCTAAAACTAACTATAAAGTAAGTAGCACTATAAAGTAAGTAGCACTATAAAGTAAGTAGCACTATAAAGTAAGTAGTAGGATTGTCTTACAAGGTTACCGGAAATTGGAAATACATTTCTTTGACGGAAAATTGATCGACTGAAGATTGGTCGAACGGAAATTTGATCGATTTTTTTAAATTTTTATTTTTATTTTAGTTCACACGCTCAAATTTTCGTCAAATTTCTTTTTGAACGCAATATACCATAGAGTCAAACCAAATAATTCGTTTAAAAAGAAATTGGTCGAAATTAAATCGTGTGAATTAACAAAAAAAAAAAAAATTCGACCAAACTTCCGTATGATCAAACTTCCGTCGATCAATTTTTCCGTCGACGAAATTTCTTTCAAACACATTTCCGGATACAGTCTTTAAAGGTTTACAAATATTGAAAATTGTTAACGTGAAGAAAAAAAAAAAAAAACAAAGTTGCCGGTTTGGAGTTGTGAAATTTGATTTTGAACGTCGGAATTTTTGTTCAAAAAATAATTGACTGGAATAAAAGGGACTATAATGAGTTTTTTGCTTGGAGTGTCTTTTGACATTGCACAGAATGACACTTGGCATTTGGAGACTAAAGTGTAGAGGGTTGTTAGTCTTTTTTTTTTCCTCCTTTAAATAAATAGTTAAATGACTATGACAGTAGATCAATCGG